GTTTCTACCATTGATTCACTGTCTCTCTGTCTCCTCTTCTGTGAAAAGCAAAAAACACCTCCCTTCTCCTTCCCAAGGGCACTGAGGATTATTAATGTTCACACATCACTTGGAAAATAAAGAGTTATGTAAAAGCATTAACAGATTTTTCTTAGATTCATGGTCAGATTCTACCAGACTATTTATTTGTCCTAAATATCAATCAAAAACCTTTGGCTCCAGAGGTTTCAGCGTTAAGAGCTTATCATGTTTATGCTATTTAGACTTGAAAAGCTGTTCAGTCTTTACATCACATCTGAAGAGGATGGTTGATGCTATTTTTAATAGTGTTTGAAATGCAGAGTGCCTCCAGCTTTTTGTGACGGGTGCTCTGCAGAACCACTGTAAGGAAAAGGGTGAAAGAATGTTTATTAAAAAGAGAGTCAGAAAAGACGACACTTGGCACAGAGGTGGGGAGATTTTAAGACCAGGAAAAGATTCCCTGTTGAAAAACAAAGCTGGTATTGCCAAAATGATGTGATGTGGGTAAGTTAAGCACCACTTGCTCTGCCTGTATGCCTCAAACCAATGTAACAGAAGGGGTAAGTAGCATAAGGGAAGATCTTCACTTGTTTAAGGAGGCCAAACTGGACATTTCATTGAAAACTTTAGTGATTAATTCTACAATCCAGTTACACAGGACTACCTGGGTCCATTGTCTAGAACAGCAACTCTCAAACTGTAGTCCAGATCACAGAGCTCTATCTAGTAGTATGAATGAGAGTATTGTAAGACCCAGTGGATCTTGCACTAAAAGGGCAGGACCATGCCAGGCTCTCTATCTTATGAAGCAGTCCACAGAGAGAAGAGTTGAGACAGTCACTGATTTAGAAGAGACTGGAGATAGCCAGCTGTCCATCTCTCCCCACTTCCCACCAAAATTAACTATCAGGTACAAGCGGAGAGAACAAAAAAGGTCCAGACCATTCTAAGTGATAGGCTACGGAACTAAGCGATGTGATACGAAACCTAAAAGGAAGAGTAGTTTCCTTGTTAATGGAAAGTTAATTTCAAATAGAGCTTTATCTGCCAGTCCTGATGGTACACGAAGGCTCTTTAAAGCTCTTTTCTGATGTCATTCACGTCTTTGCCTAAGACAATCTACCACCAAGAAAGGAAAAAGTAATAAACTTTGCTACCACAGCCAACCAAGCTATAACTTGTATTCAAAAGGCTACAAGGACTGGATGGACAGCACAGACACTGTGGGACCAGGGCCACTGTTTCAGAACCATCAAGTGCTAGAGAGCTTGGGGTCCTCTGAAGCACTGGCATGAGATCTCACAGCTAGCTCTCTCTCTCTCTGGAAAAGGGAAAGGGTCTTCCATTCTTTTCACCTCTTCACCCAGTTCCTACTAGGTTTCTTGTGAAATTATTTCTATGGCAGAGAGTGGTTTCCATGTTGCTATAGTTACAGAGAATGTGACAAGATGAACAAGTGGCCAGGCTGACAAAATTGAATATGGGATTGACAGAAAGCCGTGTACAGAACTATTTAAAAGAAACAAACAAAACCAGAAGTCTGCACGTGTAGCTGCTACCATTAGTTGTCTATTTCATTCATGTTCTCTTATGGGTAGGGTCCTACCAGATTCACAGCCATCATGGACCGTGACATCAGACCTTTCCAGTGAAACGTAGCTATTGGAGGGGAGGGAAAGGAGCAGGCCTGGGGGTGCCCCAGCAGGGGGGCTCTTACCATTCACCGGGCACCTGCGAATAGTCCGCCAGGCTGGGGAGGGACAGGACTTCCTCTTCCCCTGCACAGCCGCTCTTGGGAGGAGAGAGACCCACCTCCAGGTACCTCCCCTGGCTGCAGAAAGATCCGTAGCTGCGCTGCCTTCAGAGCCCAAACAGCAGCCACCAAGCTTCCTGGTGGTGGAGGTGGGTCTGATCTCCCCTTGCTGCTGGGACCGCCCCAGCCAGGGGCTCCTAGCTGCTAATCCCAGCTGGTCTGGGGAGGGACAGGACATGCTCTTCCCCTGCATGGCAGCTCTGGAGAGGGAGGAGGGAGAGATCAGACCCACCTTTGGGTACCTCCCATGGCTGCAGGAAGCTCCATGGAGCCCAGATCTGATGGCAGCAATCCCACAACCCCCACTACAACAGCTTTGCGACCCCCCAAGTCTCGTTTTGGGTCAGGACCTTGATGGTTACAACACCGTGAATTTCAGACATAAAATCTGAAAGGGTGAAACTGACCTATTTTAAAACCCTCCGGCTATGAAATTTACCAGAACGGACCATGAATTTGTTAGGGCCCTACTTATGCACAAATGTGGCAAATTTTCCCCTCAGCTACTCATACACACTGAAATACATTGGAATTGCATATCTGAGGACAGGATTTGCCTTGGAAAGAATGCCCAGATGCCTAAGACAATTTCAAGCACCACATTTCCACATCGTTGAGAAATGGTTTAATGGTCTGGTTTTAATTTGAGCTCTATTTACAATGTTGTGGATCCCTTTGTGGAGCAAAGTAGCTCTCTTGTGGACTAAGGAAGTGGTCCCTTTATGTTTAACAAACGGTTCAAAGTGAGACTAACCGGTAGTAAAGCAGAACCATAATCTGATAGGGGGAAGCACTTTAACATGAGTTTCCTGTGTAAGTTTCACAAAAGTTAAACTTTCTGCCCCAATTTTTACATAGAGGCCAATATCAGTATCTGCATTTTGGTTATTAGTTTTTTTAATTTGTTGGCAAGATGCTGATATTTCATTATGCCACAGTACAAAATCCAGTCTGGAAAAACCAAATCACTGTGTACATACTGTAGGATATCAGTATATGAATTTTAATTTTCTATCATAAGCCAAATGAATCCATCCCCTTCAACTTACATGACAGTCATAAATAACGTTTTCCTAGACTAACAAATCTCTAACTTAGTTTTTAAAAAAAGTGTATCTATCAACACTAAAATCATCTTTGGTCCCAAAAGTTATATGGAAGTTACATCTATTTTTCGGTTTGTTTACAGTTATTTAAGATTTGTGTTCAGAAGTGGGTTTTTAAAATTTTTATTCTGTCCTAGCTCATCTCAAAAACTTTATATCTTCTGTAATTGTGCTAACCATGTAATCATGGTGTAAATAATAAATAATGATATTTTGTACTCAGCACATCAAAGCCATTGTATCTCATGTGTAATCATATCATACATTTGCTATATGATTGTACAATATACTATATTAGAGAACATTGTATCAGATTACTGAAAAAAAAGGTAATTCACATTAACTAGCCAGACCAAGCACGCACTTTAACAAAAACCTTCTGTGATCTAACTCTGACAAAGCACTATGCAGTTTTCCCTCCTTTCCCATGCAGTAAAATGCACATAACGTTAAAAGATACCAAGAAAGTAAATAAAATTGTAAATGGATCTCTGTCTAGATCTCTAAGTAACCAGAACATTGCTTAGGGTCAGAAATTAACTAGAAAAGCACAAGGGGATTGTATAATATACCATTTCATTCCTTCTACTGATCAGCTAACAGGATACACTTTTGCTATGCTGAAAAGTCTTCGTTATTATACCATACACTGGATTCCTCTATTACTTGACTTCAGCGGAAGACCTCACCCATAAAATATTAATATAGTGCTGGATAATGCATCCTCTGAATCCCTTTTTAGAGGGTTTCGATAACATTTCAATATATTCCTTTAAACTAAGCTGCAAGT